CAGTGGCGTCGGAGACCAATCTCGACAAGGAATTTCCTCATTGAGTAGCTTTGTATAAATTCTTCGTCTAATCCCCGTCGCAATTTTGATCGACAAAACATAATCCTTGAGTCTTTTTCTTACCTAATACTTTTTAATCCTACTTATTCTTCTTATTTTTTTTTTTTTTTCATTATTATTCTTTCTCACAAAGTATCTAAACTGAAAGACTCACCTCGCCAACGTCCAACCAGAACGAAAACCGCTTCGAGAAACCTCTGAGCAGGACGCTTCGTGACATGTGATCTCCATTTAAAAAAACGGAAGCTGCGGCTCGGAAATAAACTCATCTATGGATCGAAAGGAGACTTCGTCGTTCAGCGGATGAATTAGTAGGCACTCCGAAGAGCCATCGTGGTGTTCCGTCGCGGAGAAAGTCATCGCCGGTAACAATGACGGCGGCTGCCATCGTCGCCGCCGCCGCCACCACCAACCGTCACCACCACCACCACTGTCTTCTTGTCCTCATCGTCGTCGTCGTTGGTGCCATATTCACCGGCACGGGAGAGGAAAGGAAGCAAAGGGAAAAAAAAAAAAAAGAAGCGCCACTGGAGAGGAACAATTAATTCGTACGCGAAACACGTACGCGCGGACACGCACACGCGAATGACCGTCGCGATGGAACGCGCCTACGCGTTCTCCACCTTCTCCATCCGGTACGGAATATTCGGCTGCCAATCGCGGTGGCTGTACGAGCACGCGGATATAAATGCGATGTTGCTCACGACTGCGTGTTTAATTAGAAAAATTTTACCGATAGATTTTCGCGAGTCCGGCGTCCAGCGGTTAGGTCGGCGTTCACTCTTGCGAGCGAAATGAAAAGATGAGGAACGAGACGCCTTGAAGACTACCTTCGTAATAATTTTGATGATTTAAACAAAATTAATCTTCAGATCTGGCCAAATGTTTAGATCCTTAGAGCTAAAATTTTGTTTTTTTTTTTTTTTTTTTTTTTTTTCGTGTTAGACTTCAACAGACGTTTTGCATGCAATTATTCGGGTTGTCGAATTTCTATTACTCTTGTAACACGTGCCACTGTTGTTGGTGCGAAACGATAAAAAGTAAAACGGAAATAATCGGAAATTATGCCTCGCTATCAGAGTGAATAATACAAATGATATACAAGTGATAAACGCAAAGGCAAGAGATGAATATAGCTGACGGTCTTGAAAATGAGATTTCTCTTCTTCAAAGTTGTAAGGATGACCTTTACGAATATTCTGATACAAAACCTAAATTTTTTTGCGTGATAAAGCGAGCCCGCGATCAATGGGATGCAATCTGTATTGATGACAGAATAAAAAAGGACGAGCTGTTATTTTCAGAATCGCCGTTTTTCACAGCGAAACAATGTACGACATTGAGCGAAGAGGAAGGCAAAGCTTTAGTAACAGGCGTGTAACAGAGCAGAGATCTCGGTAGAAGTAGGCCGTGCAAATGAGATGGACTCTGTGGAACGCGTTTACTATAACCGAGGCAACCGAGGCAGTTGCGTGTTAATTGCAGAACAAGCGGCCACAGTTTTGTAGGGCGCGACGAATGCATCGACGCGAAGGTTCGTGACGTGAGCGAGGCGGTCGAAGAAGATAATGAAGAAAACGCGACACGGCGATCGGAACGTAAGATCAGTGAGCGAGGAAAGGCCTCTTACATTGAAGCGGCTCGATTTTCCGAGAAAATTGGTGCCCGATGGAAAGGTACGTTCCGACGGCCGTGATTAGCGTGCCAATAATTAAGGGGGCGGTAATTAACTCTAGTTGAGACTTGAGTGATAATAGGGCGCACCTGCGGTCAACAAGTCGTTTTACAGGGCGCTCATAATTGCGCAGTGTCTCAATTAGCGAAACGTCGATGGAAAAAACTTCCACAGCACGATTTGCACGGAGTCTAATCGCATCTGCGATTTCCTTTCGATTTACAGTCGTATCTACAGTCGACTCCCTCTTATCCGGTCATGCTTTAATCATCGGTCTCCATTTTAACCGATCATATCTCTCTCTTGAGATTTTAAACAAATCTGACACACCAAGCAACAAGAAATTGCTTCATGCCACTGTTAGATAATGCTGTAATAATTTTTTTTGCTTTAATTTTCCTTTTTTAGCTGTCTGTATTGTTTAGTTTTTTATGTAAATAAATGTGCGACAAACATTATATAATATATACAAATTATATATTATTAATCATAAGCGTTTAAATTTAAAAATGTTATATATATATATATATATAATATATTTATTTATTTATTATCTTAT